CTCGCGAGCGCTTGCTCCGCGGCCGACTGCTCGCCGAGGCCGGCGACGTTGCCCGCGAGCCAGGCCGGCGCGGACGAGCCGCCCACGGCCTTGGGCTTCTCTTGCGCGAAGGTGTCCAGGGACCCGGCGGCGCGGCCACCGAGCGGCGGCACGTAGCCCTTGACGTCCTCGGCGGCCTTGCCCGCCGCGAAGTTCTTCTCGTTCTTGAGGCGCTCGAGGTTCGCGACCTTGACCGCGATCCACGCGGCCTCCCACGCGGCCTGCTCGGCCTCCGCGTCGTTCACGAGGCGGCCGTCGGCGCGGATCGCGTCGAGGGCCGCCCGCGCGGCGACCTCGGCCTCGTCGTTGGACTGACCGTCAAGTCCAGCGACTGACTGCTGTTCTTCGAGCCACGCGGCGCGCAGGCCCTCGAGGGCCCGTTTCGTCGTCGGCGCGTTGTTCTGGAAGGCGGCGACGCCTGCGCTGAGCGCGCACAGTCGCAGCCAGGCCATTCGTAGCTGTCCCGAAGCGGATGCAGAACGGAACACCTTCAAGCCTGAGCGGTCGATGACATCAGTCACAAATCGTACGTACGCGTTGCCGCAAAGTTGCCCTCAACCTGGTGTCTCTGTCACGAGCTGCGCGGCTCGGGGGGCACCCACCGACGCGCAATGGCGCAAGAGAGTCGCCTTGCGGCTATTCGACACAAACATCGGCCACAACCAGAGGGCGTGCAGTCCCACATGAGCGACGGGGTCGTCGCCGCGGTGGTCGCCGAAGTGCTTCCCGCTGGCGGTTGGTCAACGTGGCAGGCGCCGTTTCTCGGTTGGTTTATACGGCTATATTAGCATGGTCGGGTGGGGGGTCCACGCTAAGGGTACAGGGGGGGGGTGCCGCGCGCTCGGGCCTGAGGCCGTCGCCACGCGGACCTGGGCCGTCTCGGGAGGTGGGCGTCGAAGGCGGCGATCGAAGGTGGCGGCGTGGGAGCGATTTTCTCGTACCTACACCGAGAGCCAGGACGGCGTCGAAGCGCCGCCCTTGGCTTTGGCGCCGTCTTTGCGGCCGACCGTTTTTTTGAGCCAGGCCAGCGCGCCCGCTCCCGAGGCGGAGGAGGAGTCGCCCCAGGCGGCGGACGCGAGCGACTGCGTCGCCGCAGGAGCGGACGAAGCCGGCGCGGACGAACTCCAGTCGCGGTCCTTGCCGACGAAGGCGCCCGCCGTCGACGCGAAGTGATCCATCGAGCCGCCAGCGGGAGCGGCCGCGGCCGCGGGGGCCGCCGCAGGGGCGACCGCGGCCGAAGGGGCGGCGGCCGCGGGGGCGGCCGAGCCGGAGAGCCAGTCGGGGCCGGACGAGGCGCCCATGGACTTGAAGTCGCGGTCCTTGCCCTTGAACGAGCCCGCCGTGGACGCGAAGTGGTCCATGTTGCCCGTGGAGGCCGCCGGGGACGCAACCGCGGCCGCGGGGGCGGCGGCCGCGGGGGCGGCCGAGCCGGAGAGCCAGTCGGGGCCAGACGAGGCGCCCATGGACTTGAAGTCGCGGTCCTTGCCCTTGAACGAGCCCGCCGTGGACGCGAAGTGGTCCATGTTGCCCGTGGAGGCCGCCGGGGACGCGACCGCGGCCGCGGGGGCGGCGGCCGCGGGGGCGGCCGAGCCGGAGAGCCAGTCGGGGCCAGACGAGGCGCCCATGGACTTGAAGTCGCGGTCCTTGCCCTTGAACGAGCCCGCCGTGGACGCGAAGTGGTCCATGTTGCCCGTGGAGGCCGCCGGGGACGCGACCGCGGCCGCGGGGGCGGCCGAGCCGGAGAGCCAGCTGGGGCCGGAAGCGGCGCCCATGGACTTGAAGTCGCGGTCCTTGCCCTTGAACGAGCCCGCCGTGGACGCGAAGTGGTCCATGTTGCCCGTGGAGGCCGCCGGGGACGCGACCGCGGCCGCGGGGGCGGCGGCCGCGGGGGCGGCCGAGCCGGAGAGCCAGTCGGGGCCGGACGAGGCGCCCATGGACTTGAAGTCGCGGTCCTTGCCCTTGAACGAGCCCGCCGTGGACGCGAAGTGGTCCATGTTGCCCGTGGAGGCCGCCGGGGACGCGACCGCGGCCGCGGGGGCGGCGGCCGCGGGGGCGGCCGAGCCGGAGAGCCAGTCGGGGCCAGACGAGGCGCCCATGGACTTGAAGTCGCGGTCCTTGCCCTTGAACGAGCCCGCCGTGGACGCGAAGTGGTCCATGTTGCCCGTGGAGGCCGCCGGGGACGCGACCGCGGCCGCGGGGGCGGCCGAGCCGGAGAGCCAGTCGGGGCCGGACGAGGCGCCCATGGACTTGAAGTCGCGGTCCTTGCCCTTGAACGAGCCCGCCGTGGACGCGAAGTGGTCCATGTTGCCCGTGGAGGCCGCCGGGGACGCGACCGCGGCCGCGGGGGCGGCGGCCGCGGGGGCGGCGGAGCCGGAGAGCCAGTCGGGGCCGGACGAGGCGCCCATGGACTTGAAGTCGCGGTCCTTGCCCTTGAACGAGCCCGCCGTGGACGCGAAGTGGTCCATGTTGCCCGTGGAGGCCGCCGCGTAGGACTCGACGGCGCCCGAGACCTTGCCGCCGAGCGGCGGCACGTAGCCCTTGACCTCGACGGCCTGGGCCGCGAAGTCCTTCTCGTTCTTCATGCGCTCGAGGTTGGCGACCGTGGCCGCGATCCACGCGGCCTCCCACGCGGCCTGCTCGGCCTCCGCGTCGAGCGCGAGGCGGCCGTCGGCGCGGATCGCGTCGAGGGCCGCCTGCGCGGCGACCTCGGCCTCGGTGCCCGACTGGCCGTACTTGCCGTCGGACCCAGTGACGGACTGCTGCTCTTCAAGCCACGCGGCGCGGAGGCTCTTGAGGGCCCCTTTCGTTTGCGGGGCGTTCTGGAAGGCGGCGACGCCCGCGCTGAGCGCGGCTACGCGTAACCAGGGCATGCTTTCAGTGCGAGATGATGTTCGAGATCGTCCCCGTCACTCGCTCCGTTGCTCAAGTGCGACTTCGGGAGGTGGTCTGACGTCAAGAAAGTTTGCTCCAAAACCCGAACGTACTTGTTGCAGGCCTATTGAATGCCTTCCCGAGCAGACACAATCACAAAAAGGCCTCCGCGGTCGTCACGGCGCTGCTCCCAGACTACCCTCCGACGCGTCAGCTGCTCGCAGACGCCGCCGTAGTCCAACGCGGCCACACGGTGCGTGATGCGGTGGCGCCCCGCGCTCCCGGGCAACGCGCGCGCGTCCCGACGCAGGCTGCGGACTTCTGAGCCGCTTCAGAAAAGTGTGGGAAATCGAAGCGGGCTCGGCAGTTTTCGGCGGCAGGGACCGTGCTCGCCTCGGCGACGCCTGCCGGGGACAGCTGGCGCCCGCGACCGATGTCCGACGTCTCCCGATGCCCCCAACGGACTGCTCTGCACCTCAAGTAGAATCGATTGTCGCGACACACCGCAAATCCGCAATTCCTGGCATGGGGATGGTTCGAAGAACCCCCGCCACGGGCTCCCCGGGGCCGCGCCCCTCCCCTGCTCCCCCGGGCCGCCCTCGCTCCTCCCGCGTTCCCCCTTTTTGTTCCCGCCCGAGATCCATGTAGCGCATTACCGCGACTACCTCGGGTTGTCGTCGAGGATGACCGTCGGGTAGGTCGCCTCGTGGAGCCAGAGCTGGGAGACCCACTTCTCGGCCACGGCCGGCGCCGCGCGGTGGACCGTGCGGCCGTCGGGCGTCGCCGACGGGAAGAACGCGGGGAAGAAGAGGAGCGCGTCGCCCGCGACCGGTTTTACCGCGAGCGGCGGCGCCGGCCCCAGGTCCCGGAAGCACGTCGCGCCGCCGGAGGCGTCGCCGCCGTCGCCCGTCAGGTAGACCAGAAGCGTCGCGAGGCGCTGGCCGCCGTCGTCCCCGCCCAGGAGCGGCGGGGGCACGGCGTCCTCGTGCCACTCGAACTGCTCGCCCGGCAGGTACCGCGCGATCTGGAGCTCCTCGAAGTGGTCCGGCGACACGCCGGCGAAGAGATTCGACGCCCGGGCGATGAGCGGCGCGACGGCGGCCTCGCGGAAGCGCGCGTACCACGTCGTCGACGTCCGCCGCGCCGCCTCGCCGCTCGAGAACGTGCCCGCGTCCTTGGCCATCTCGCGGCAGCGGCCCGTGGCCGTGAGGGCGATGAGGTCGCCGCACTCCTCGGGGGACAGCAGGCCGCGCACGCGGTAGACCGGCGGGTCGAGGTGGAGCACCTCGAGCCGGTCGTCGCCGAGGTCGACGGGGTGCACGCGCCGCGCGGCGAGCGCGTCGCCCGCGGCCGCGACGGACGTCGGCGCGTCGAGGGACCGCTTCTGGCAGGGCACGGGCCGGTCCTCGTCGTAGGGCTCGGGCGGCGGCAGGCCCCAGCTGTCGAGGGACGGCAGGTCGAGGGACGGCGTCGGTGGGGGTTTCTTCTTCGCCTTCTTCGCCTTCTTTTTCGTCGACGTGGAGGCGAAGCCTTTGGCGCGTAAGGTGGTCGGTGGTCTTCGAGGGATCGGGGTGTGGAATGTGACAGCGACGCTCGCGAGAAGCAGCAGCAAAACGACGCGCAGGCTGGGCGCGAGGCCCTGGCCGCCCTGGCCCATTGCAGTGCCGCAAAGTTCAGCGTGTTCGAAGCACTCGACAGAGCAGCCGAGTTGATGACCATTTCAGACACGCCTTCGAGAAGCCAGGCAGCCCCACACGCCTCGTCCGCGCAGCATGCCCTCGACGTCCCTGGAATCGAAGCTCCTCGCCGAGGCCGCGGCCGTCAAGCACGGCCACGTGGGCCGCGCCGCGGACGGCGCGCCCGTGAGCTGGGGCCGCCACCTCTCCGAGGCGGCGCGCGGCAGCCCGGCCGTCGACGGCCGCTGCGTGTCCTACCTGCCGGAGCTGCCCGAGTCGTCCGGCGGCCGGGGCTGCACGGCCCACATCGACCTCGACACGTGCGGCATATCGCCGCTCGACGAGCACAACGCGAAGCTCCTCGACAACGTGCACCCCGAGGTCTGGCAGGATCCCACGCCCGAGCCGGGCTTCGTCTACGACCTCGTCGCCCTGGGCGCCGGCGCCGGCGGCCTGGTCTCGGCCAAGCAGGCGGCGCGGCGCGGCGCGCGGTCCGCGCTCATCGAGTCGCATTTGGCGGGCGGCGACTGCCTCAACGTCGGCTGCGTGCCGTCGAAGGCGCTGCTGCGGTGCGCGCGGGCCGCGCGGGAGGCGCGGCGCGGCGCCGAGTTCGGCGTCGACGGCGCGGCTGTCGCCGTCGATTTCGGCGCGGTCATGGAGCGCATGCGGCGCCTGCGGGCGCGCATCGCGCCGGCGGACGCGCACGCGGCGACGGCGGCCGTCGGCGCGGACGTGTTCCAGGGCCGCGGCGTCTTCGTGGGGCCGAACGAGATCGAGGTCAACGGCCAGACCCTCAAGTTCCGCAAGGCCGTCGTCGCCACGGGCGGCCAGGCCGCCGTGCCGTCGATCCCCGGCCTCGCGGAAGCGCCGTACCACACGAACGCGACGCTCTTCAACGCCACGGCGCTGCCGCCGCGCGTCGTCGTCGTCGGCGCGGGGCCCATCGGCCTGGAGATGGCCCAGGCCCTCGCCGTCTTCGGGTCGAAGGTGACCTGCGTGCTGCGGAGCGCCAAAGTTTTGCCGAAGGAGGACCCGGACGCGGCCGCGCTCGTGCGGGCAGCGCTGGAGCGCGACGGCGTCGCCTTCGTGACGGGCGCGGCCTACAAGCGGGTGGAGCACGCGCCGCCAAAAAAGGGCGCGGCCTTCCCGACGATCGGCGTCGCGGTCGACGTCGACGGCGCGGAGACGAGATTGGAGTGCGAGATGCTCCTCGTGGCCACGGGCCGCAAGCCCAACGTCGAGCACTGCGGCCTCGACAAGGCCGGTGTTGCGTTTGACGTGCGCGACGGCGTGCAGGTTGATGATTATCTACGCACGACGAACCCGGACGTCTACGCCGTCGGCGACGTGTGCACGCGGTACCAGTTCACGCACGTCGCCGGCACCATGGCGGGCATGGTCGTCGACAACGCGCTCTTCCGCGGGCGCCACGCCTTCTCCAAGCTCGTCGTGCCCTGGGCGACGTACACGGAGCCCGAGGTCGCGCACGTCGGCTTGTACGAGCGGGACGTCGCGAGCCAGGGGTTGGCGTGCGACACGTACACGACGGCGCTCGCGCACAACGACCGGGCCATTTTGGAGGGGGCGACGGAGGGCTTCGTGAAGGTGCACTGCCGCAAGGGCACGGACGAAATTCTCGGCGCGACGATCGTCGCGGACCACGCGGGCGAGCTCATCTCCGAGCTCACGCTCGCGATCCAGGCCAACGTGGGCCTCGGCACCATCGGCAAGACCATCCACCCCTACCCCACGGTCTCCGAGGCCATCGCGGGCTGCGGCGTCGCCTACAACCGCACGGTCTGGAAGACGAAGCGGCGCGACGGCGCCGCGGCCGCGCCGGGCGGTTTGAAGCTCGCGCTCGCGGCCGCGGCCGGGGCGCTCCTCGGCGCGCTGGCCGTGGTCATCGCGAAGCCGCGCGCGGCGCGCTAGGGGGAGGGCGTCTCGGGGCGGGTAAGCTGGAGGAGACCTGAGGAGACGTGCTCGTGGGCCGCCGCCTCGCTAAACGGCCCGGCTCGCTGCTGACAGAGCAAATCCAAGCAATGGCCCGACTTGTAACATGCATCCTGCTGCCGCTGGCCGCGGCCTTCACGCGGCCCACGCGCTCCGTGCGTCATCCCGCGCAGCCGTTGCACGCGGTCGACCCGGTGGTGGCCGTCGCGGCCGTCGCGGCGGTGCCGACGGGCTACTTCTTCTACACCATGCAGCAGGAGAAGGACGCGGCCGACACGAACGGCGTCGTCGCCGCGCCGACGCCGGCGCCCGCGCCCGCGCCGGCGCCGGCGCTGCCGGCCTTCTTCGCGCCGAAGAAGAAGACGCCGGCGGCGACCATGGCCAAGGCGGCCTGGTCCGGCGACGCGTTCGGAGCGTCTAAGTGGCCCGTCGCGCCCGCGCCGCCGCCGCCGCCGCGCGCCGCGCCCGTCTTCCGCCGCGCGGCCTGGTCCGGGTCGCCCTACGCGTCCATCGTGCGCAGCGCGGCGGTCGCCCAGCAGCGCGCCGACGGGGCCGCGGCGTCGGCGAAGCGGAAGGCCAAGCTGGCCAAGCGCGGCATCAAGCCGCGGCCGGCCGCCGCCTTCGAGCGCGCGGCCTGGAGCGGTTCGTGCTACGACTCGCCGACGCGCGCCACGGCCGCCAAGGCGGGCTTCTTCGCCGGCCTGCTCGGCCGGTTCCGGCGGAAGCGCAAGGCCGACGCCGCGCCCGCAAAGGCCGCAAAGGCCGCGCCGGCGGGCCCGCCGACGGCCGCCGCGTGGCGCGCGGCCTGCGACGCCTCGGGCGTGACGTCCTACGCGGACTTCGGCGTCCGGCTCGCCGCCTGAGCGAGGTCTCGGGAGCGGCGGCGTTAATCGCGGGGAGAGCAAAACGGGCGGGGGCAACGCGCGGGGAAACCGGCGTCGGCGGGCTACTTCTTGAGCATGGGCGAGAACTCGCCGCCGGAGAGGGGCGTGCTGATCTTGCCGACGTAGGCGGCCGCGACGAGGAGGGGCATGGGCACGAACATGGACACGAGCGTCGTCCAGATGAGGATATCCGCGCCGACGCCCGTGTAGTCCCAGAAGACCGTCGTGAGGTAGGGCACGAGCGACGCGCCGAAGTTGAGGCCGAACATGACGATCGACATGCCCTCCTCCGTCGCGATCGTCATCCGGTTCACGAGGTCGTAGCAGTAGCCGACGCAGGGCCCGTTGCCCAGCCCGTACAGGCTGAGCCCGAGCCAGAAGCAGACGCCCGAGTTCGGGAAGATCGTCGTGAGGAGCATCCCGAAGGTCCCCGTGAAGAGCCACGCCGTCAAATGGACGAAGATCGCGCGCGTCGGCTGCTTCTTGAGGTTGATCTGGTCCTGGAGCCCCACCAAGCGGCCGATGGTGATCATGATCCAGAGGAGGAGGAGCGCCACGGACGCCTTGGACGACGAGACGACGCCCGTCTGGCGCACGTACGTCGTGATGTACGACGTCGTGTCGACCTTCCCGCCGATCAACCAGAAGACCGTGCACCCGAACAGGAACTCGAGGTGGTAGGGCCCCTTGGGCGCCTTGTCGCCCTTGCCGTTGGCGCCGACGCGGGGCGGCAGCTGGGCCTTGATCTCCGGCGTCTCCGGGTGCGGCGCCGCGTACAACGCCGCCGCGTTCAGCACCGAGATCGTCGCGAGCGTCGCGTACTGCGCGAACAGCTCGCCCGTGATGATCTCGATCAACGGCACCAAGGCCCCGGCGATGGCGAAGCACACCGTGTTCGCGCCGAGCCAGGGCCCCGCGTGGACGCCGTGGACCTTTCGCGTCATGATCTGGCACCCCGTGTCCAACGTCGCCGTGCAGAGGCCCATGAGGAACCAGGTCACGTGGAGCACCCAGACGTCGTGCACAAAGGGCATGTAGAGCAGCACGGCGGACAACGCGAGGAGCACGACGACCATGATGTGGTTCCCCCGGCGCGGCGGCGCGTAGAGCCGCGCGCTGGACAGCGCGCCCGTGATCGCGCCGACGCCGCGCGCGATGAAGACCGTGCCCACGGCCGTCGCCGTCGTGCCGCAGTCCTCGGCGAGCGAGCTCAGCGTCGACCCCAGCGCCACGAGGACGATGCCGCAGACGCCCATGGCGTTCGCATAACACAAGCCCCACCAGAGCCGCAGGTTCGCGATCTCCTGCGTCTCGTGGTAGTGCGCCTCGAGCTTGGCCGACTCCGCGGCGATGGACCGCTGCTTGTCGAGCAGGGGCGCGCCGTCCTCGACATCCGCCATGTGGCTGCCGCCGAGACGAGCGTCTCTATACGTGTACGTCGCGAGTGGCGTCGGAGGCGAGATCGAAAGACACAGGTCTGGGCTGCTGTGGCAACTTTAGCATGCGTCGAGCCTGCGCCGACGACGTCGCCAACGTCGTCGGCCGCGCACTCGGGCACCAGCCCCGCGCACTCGGGCACCGGCCGCATCGTGCGCCGCCGCGTCGCGGCGGGCACGCGGCGTCGCGGCTGTGTTCGACTCGTTTAGGAACAGCGCCGTGGCACGCGCGCCCGACTCGGACGGTCGGCCCGGGTGCTGCCGCGGTGCTCGGGCCACGCGACTCCACGTCGCGAGGACGAGAAGGTACGAGACCACACCATCGCAACGCGGGGACGACGAACCTTCCAAGGGGCGGGGTCCGGGTGCTTCAAACAAATAGGTGAAGCACTGTTACCCATGCATTTGCCGAAGGCGATAGAAGCCGCCATCCGAGCCTCGTCGAGCTGCTCACCACCACCGACGCGCGCTCTCACATGGGCAAAAAAGGGCACAACAAAGGCGGCAAGGCCAAGCCGGCCTACATGCGGGACCCGACGGAGGAGATCGCGGAGCTCGAGCGGCGCATCGCCGAGGAGTCGCCGCGGCGCGGCTGGTGCCCGGGCGCCGACGAGAGCGCCGCGCGCTTCGACGCCCTGCCGCTGAGCTCGCGGACGCTCCAGGGCTTAACGAGCGGCGGCTTCGAGACCATGAAGCCCATCCAGCGCTGCGCGATCCCCCACGCGCTCGCCGGCCGCGACGTCCTCGGCGCCGCGCGGACCGGCTCCGGCAAGACGTTGGCGTTCCTCGTGCCCGCGCTCGAGGCGCTCTACCGGCACCGCTGGTCCGCGGGCGACGGTTTAGGCGCCCTGATCATCTCGCCGACGCGGGAGCTCGCGGCGCAGATCTTCGACGTGCTCCGGAAGGCGGGGTCGTGCCACGACGTGTCCGCGGGTCTGATCACCGGCGGCGGCCGCGACTTCGACGCGGAGCGCGACCGCGTGGGCCGCATGTGCCTGCTCGTGGCGACGCCGGGCCGCGTGCTGCAGCACGCCGAGGAGTCGCCGGCCTTCGACGCGACGGGGCTGCTCGCGCTCGTCGTCGACGAGGCGGATCGCGTCGTCGACATGGGCTTCGCGGCCCAGGTCGACAGTTTGGTCGCCTACCTGCCGCAGCAGCGCCAGACCATGCTGTTTTCGGCCACTTTAGCGGGCTTCGCCGGCGCGCCCGAGGCCGCGCTGTCGTCGCGGCTCGGGCGGCTCCGGGGCCTCGTCGACGCCAAGACCGTGGAATTCGTCGCCGCGCGCGACGAGCGCGCGCTGGTCGCGGGCGCCGCCGGCGAGGCGTCGCAACCGACGGGCGCGCCGACGCCCAAGGCCCTGGACCAGTGCCGCGTGACCTGCGGTCTCGAGGAAAAGATGGACGCGTTGTACGCGTTCGTGAAGGCGCACCTCAAGTGCAAGACGATCGTCTTCGTGAGCTCGTGCGCGCAGGCGCGCTTCCTCCTCGAGGCGCTGCGCGGCACGCAGCCCGGCGTGCCGCTCCTGGCCCTCCACGGCAAGCAGTCCCAGGGGAAGCGCACGGCGACCTTCGAGGACTACAAGCGGAAAACCGCGGCGGTGCTGTTCGCGACGGACGTCGCCGCGCGGGGCCTCGACGTGCCCGACGTCGACTGGGTCGTCCAGCTCGACGCGCCCGAGGACGCCGAGGCCTACGTCCACCGCGCGGGCCGCGCGGCGCGCAACGGCCGCCCGGGCAAGGCCATGCTCGTGCTCCTGCCGAGCGAGGAGCCGCGCATGGCGGAACTGCTCGCCGCGGCGAAGATCCCCGTCAAGAAGGTCGCGATCAACGGCAAGCGCACCTTCTCCGCCGCGAAGCACGTCGAGGCCCTCGTCGCGGCGCGGCCCGAGGTCAAGGCTTTAGCGCAGAAGTGCTTCTCCGCGTACGTCCGTTCCGTCGTCCTCGCGGCGGACAAGGCGCTCTTCGACGCGTCGAAGCTGCCGCTCAAGGCCTTCGCCACGAGCCTGGGCCTCGCGAACGCGCCGCGCGTCAAGCTCCCCGGCGACACGCGGGCCGCGGAGGCCGCGCGCGCCGAGGGCCACGCGGCGAAGAACGCGAACCGGAAGCTCCAGAAGCTCAAGGAGCAGATCGCCGCGGCCAAGGCGGCGAAGCGCGGCGTCGCCGCGGCGCCGGCGACGGCGGCGGAGAGCTCCGGCGACGACGACTCGGACGACGACGTCCTCGTGTCCGCGAAGCGCGGGCCCGAGCGCGACGTCGACGCGATCGAGGTCGCGGCCGTCGACAAGCCCCTGTCGCGCAAGAAGGCGCGGAAGCAGCGCATCGACGGCGCGGGCGAGGCCCGGAGCTCGCGGGCCACGAAGCTCGCCTTCGACGACGACGGCAAGGTCTCGGACCGCTCCGCGGCCGCGTCCTTTGCCGAGGGCGCGGCGACGAAGGCCGGCGCCGCGCTCGCCGCGGCGAACGCGGACTTCGTCGACCGCGTCCGCGCGCGCCTCGCCGAGACCGACGGCGAGGACCGCGCGCGCGAGAAGGAGCGCCGCAAGGCCCTCAAGCTCGCCCGCAAGGCGAAGCGCAAGCGGCCGGACGACGACGACGGCGGCCCGGGCGCCGTCGCCGTGCTCGGCGGCGGCTCGGACGACGACTCGGACTGACCTAAGGCACGCTTACCTCGTAGCTTTTACGCGAGGATGCCGCGCTCCGCGGCCGCGGCGACGACGTCGTTCGCGCACGCGTCGAGGCGCGCGTCGAGCGCCGCGAGGAACGCGTCGTAGGCGCCGCGGAGGTCGCCGCGGTCGCCGGATTCCAGCGCGGCGTCGCAGGCGTCCTGGAGGTCGTCGAGGAGGGCCACGGGGAGGAAGGACACGTTGCCCGCCTCGGGCCGCGAACCGTTCGTCGACGGCGGCTCGGCCAGCACCGAGGCCGCGGCCGCGCACGCGTCGGCGAGGCGGCCGTGGTCGAGGTAGAGCGCGACGAGTTTCGGCGCGTCGCCGCCGCGCCCCGCGAAGGACGGCCCGCCCGCGCCGGCCATGCGGTCGTGGAGGAATTTTGGCAGGCCGCGGCCCGCCGCGAGGTACGGCGCCGCCGCCGCGCGACACAACCCGAAGTTCGACGCGACGCCGTCGCGCGCCAGCGCCGCCTCGAGCACGGCCTCGGCGCGGTCGCCGGGCGTCGACGCCACGGGCGCGCCGAGGGGCCCCGGCGCCGGCGCGCCGCCCGTCGACTCGGCGTAGACGCGCGACCGGTCGTCGCGGAACTCGCCGCCGGGCGCGCCCGCCGCCGCGTGGCCCGCCAGCGCGAAGACGGCGGCGGCCTCGACGTCGGGCCCCAGGGGCTGGGCCGCGTCCAAAGCATCGCCGTGGTTGCCGCGGCGCGCGAGCTCCAGGGCCGCGTCGCGCGGGCCGAGGCGGCTCCCGCCGAGGCGGAGCCGGCTCCGCCGGAGCCGGTTCCGGCCGGCGAGGTCGTCGCGGCAGGTCAGCGCGAGGGCGTCGCCGCCGCGCGCGGGCCGCTGCGCGACGAAGCGGGCCGAAGGCGGCGCGGCCGCGAGGCACGCGTCCGCGGCCGCGTCCGCGGCGAGCGCCGCGGCCGTCGCCTTGGGCGAGTGCAGCCCGTCCAGGCGCCCCGCGACCTCGACGAAGACCGCCGCCGCGCCGGCGAAGTCGCGGGCCCCGACGCGGAGCGCCGCGGCGATCTTGTACGCGTCGACGGATCGCGCGGCGTCGAAGCGGCAGCGGTCGTCGTAGCCGAGGAAGTCCGCCGCGAAGGCGTCGTCGACGGGGTCGCGCCGCGCCAACTTCAACAGCGCGGCGTCGACGAGCGCGTGGCCGTCGCCCCAGGGCGCCGCGACGAGCCGCGCGGCCGCGCCGCGATCCAGCAGCTCGCGCGCGAGCCGGGGCACGCGCTCCCCGGGGTCCGTATTGGCCTTGGCCGCCGCGCGGCCCCAGTCGCCGAGGGCGAGGTCGAGCTCGAAGGCCCAGGCGTCGAGGGCGAGGCCCGCGTCGCTTTGGTCTTTCGGCGCGAGCCGCGCGAGCCGCGCGGCGGCCGCGCGGCCGCGCGCGTCGGACGCGCAGGACCGCAGCATGCGCGCCTTGGCGGACGTGAAGGCGAGGTCGTCGCCCGACAGCGCCAGACGCGCCGCGTAGGCCGCGGCGGCGGCCTCGAGGCGCGCCGCGCCGCCGCGCGCGGCCTCGGCGTCGCCTAAAGCTTCCGCGGCGGCGGCGACGTCTCCCGCCCGCGCGGCGAGCTGGCGCCGGCGCCGCAGGGACGCGTAGGCCGGCTGGCCGCTCTCCCGCAAATACACGTCGAGGCGGCTCGGCGACCCGGGCCCGAGCACGCCGCTCCAGGCCGCGCCCGCCGCGAGCGCGCCGAGGTACGCGCCGCCGCCGGCTCCCGCGCCCGCGACGCGCGCCGCGGCCGCGCACCGGTCCAGGAACGCGTTGCCCGGCCCGCCGCCCTCGACGAGCTGGCCGTCGGGCGCCAGGAGCCCCGCGAGCGCCGGCTCGCGGCGGTCGAGCCAGTGCGCGCGGTCGTCGCGGCCGTCCGCGAACGACACGCGGCGCGCCTTCCGCGGCGCCGCGCCGTCCGCGGGCGCGTCGCTCGCGAGCCAGGCCGTGACCCTCAGATCGCGGGCCACGGCGAGGCTCGCGTCGGCGAGGGGCTCGCCCGCGCCGCCCGCGGCGACGCCCAGCAGCGCCGCGGCCGCGACGGCGACGGCCGCGCCGTAGAGATCTTCCGCGGCCGCCGCGGCCGCGGCCGCGAGCCCCGCGCGCGCGAGCGCCGACGGCGCGTTCCGCGCGTAGGCGTGGTCGCCGCCCGCGGGCGCCAGGGCGCCGGCTAAAAGCCGCCCCGCCGTCGCCTCGTCGACGAGCGACGACACCGAGAACGGCGTGGCGTCGTCGCCGCCGACCGCGGCCGCGCACGCGGCCGCGAAGGCCGGGTCCGCCGCGGCGTGCGTCGCCGCGGCGGCCCGCGCCTCGGCGGCGACGCGGTGCGCCGCGTCCGGGTCGCGCGTCGCGAGGAGCGCGTCGAGCGCGGTCCCGAGATCGCGCGCTTCCGCGGACGGCGCCGCGAGGAGCGGCGCGAGCGCGGGCGCCCGGCAGTGGGTCTCGAGGGCCGCCGCCGTCCACCGGACGTGCTCGAGCCGCGGCAGGAGCTGCTGGAGCCCCGCCGCGGCGCAGAGCGGCGGCGCCGCGACGACGGCGTCCGATGAGGACGACACGAAGCCGAGCGGCGCCGCTTCCGCGACGGCCTGCGCGTCCGCGAGGTGGAGGAAGCTCCGCCAGGCGCCGCAGAGCGCGGCGCACTTGACCTCCAGCGACGCCCGGTCGTCGCGGAGCGACCGGCGGAAGGCGTCGCGGCACGCGTCCAAAGCGCCGTCGACGACCGCGTCCGGGCCGACGTCGCGCCGCAGCACCGACGGCAACCCGTACGCGAGCGCGTTGCCCAGGGCCCGCGCCGTGAAGCGGCCCGGCAGGCACAGGCGCTTGAGGAAGTGGGCCTCGATGGCCGCCGAGGCCGCGGGCCACCCGTCGTCGCCCCCGAAGAGCGACGCCCACGACGCCGCCGCGGCCCTGGCTTCGAGCGCGGCGTCGCCCGCGTCGCGCCGCGCGGCCCGCGCGCCGCCCAGCGCCGGCGCGTGGGCGACCGCCGCGACGTCCGGCGCCCCGCCGTCGATGGCGTGGGACGCCAACAAAGCTGCATCAGTGTCGCACGACGGGGCGCCCGTCGGCGGCCGGTCGCGCGCCCAGTAGGACCAGAGCGTCCCGCCCGACGCCTCGAGGCACCGGAGCTCGGCGGCCTGCGCCGGCGCGCCGTCGCGCCAGCGCGGCGCGTCGAGGCGCGCGACGACGGCCGCCGCCGGGTTTCGCGCTCCGTCCGCCGCGACGCCCGCGTCGATCAAAGCCAGCGCCGGAATCGGCGCGTCGTCGAGCACCGCGGCCACGGCGAAGCCGCCGGCGCCCTCGACGCCGACGAGGCGCGTCCCGGGGCCCAGCCGCGGCGCGACGCCGTCGCCGCGCAGCGTCTCGCGCAGATCCAGCGAATGCGCGAGCGCGCCGGTGGACCCGAGCCAGACCCCGAGGCGCCAGTCCGCGCGGAGGCCCGCGACGACGCACCGCTCGAGCGACGACCCGTCGCCGCCGGAGCAGACGGCGACGACCGTCAGCCCCTGCTCGTCGTCGCCGCTCGGCGCGCCGACGAGGCCCGCGACCAAGCGGCCGACGACGCCGCGCGCGCCGGAACCGTCCCGCAAAACGCGGAAGGAGCTCAGCTCCGCGGCGTCGCCGAGCTGCACGGCCGCGACGCCGCCGCCGCGGCCGGGGGCCAGGGGGAGCAGGAGGCCCCGGGGCGCGGCCCAGCGCGCGGCCGCGGGCGCCGCGACGCCGGGCCCGCCGAGGACCGCGTCGAGCGACACTTTGACGCCGCCGCAGTGGCGCTCGCGGCACGCGCGCGCGAGCGCCGACGCGCCGGCCGTCGGCGGGAAGTAGAGCACGTGGGCGTGGCCCGCCGTGGCGACGGCGACGACGACGCGGTCGCTCGCGGCGCTCGGCGCGAACGCGCGGCAGCAGCACGGCGCGCCGCGCGGCGCCGGCGACGCGAGCGCGACGGCGACGCGGTTCGCCTCGAGCTCCGGCGCCGCGAGCGTCTCCTCGCAGAGCGTGAGCACGTCGCCCCGGACGCGCCAGAGCAGGAGCCGCGTCGGCGACAGGACGCAGCCGCCGCCGACGGCGCCCAGGGCCGCGGCGTCGACCGGCGCCTTGGCCCAGGACGTCGACAGGCCCACGAACGGCGCCGTCGTGTGGACCATGTAGGCCTCGAGGCGCGGCTGCTGCGCCATGATATGGCGTGGGTGCACGGCGCGGTCGTGCCCTTGCTGCCGGCGAGCTTGAGCGGCTCGGAGTCGAAGGCGCCAAGCCCGTGTCCGGCCGGGGTTTTTTGCACGCCAAGAGCCCTCCGCGCGTCGCGGGGTGGTCGGCGAAGCCCCGGATAATCCGGAATCCCCAGCCTCCACACACCGAGCGCTCCGACGACCAAGGAGCGT